ACCAAACCAAATCTAATACCCCTTGACAGCGTGATTCAACACTCCAGGGGGGCCCTAATCTTCCCACCACCAAGGGGAGGCCACATGGCGTGAACCCGAGATAACTAGAGCACAACCTTTAACAGTTGCAACTCGGGTTGTACGCTTTCACTGAGGCCGTCGGCAACAGAACATTTTGACAAGTGGACTGTTGACGGCTTAAGGCTCAGTGGAGGCGGCCGTGGTGGGAGCTAAGGCGGCAGCTAGACAGGGCCGCTTCCATCAAATGAGGAACAGTGGTACACCAGTCGCGGCCACTCAGCTAACGGAAGTGAGAAGGGTCCAGCGGACCGATGAGTGGCCGTGAAGTTCCTCTCCACACGCTGAGGGGGGGTGATGACACCCCCGCCCCTGGGGGAATTACCCCCCGACTGGTCGGGGGAGGGGCCCCTTTCAAACTTAGGGGCCTGATGGCTGGCCGGCGGGCGCCGAGAGTCGCCCGGCAGAGGGCGTGGCTGAGCGCCCCCGCCCGTGGGGGTCGAGGGCCTGGCAGAGCCCCGAGAGGAGACGCCGTTCGCACTCAGGCACAAAACGGCATGATGATTGCCCTGGCAATGCAGACAGGGCCGTCGATGCGGACAGTCTCGCTGGAGGTGCCCTCCCAGATATGACCAGCACCAGCGGCGCTCCTTGGCGATAGTTCGCCTCGCTGGAACCGGCTTACCTAATAATTTCGGGCACGACGTTACCCGGTGATCAGATGCTCGACAATAGGAGCAGGGGGGGTTGACGACGACTTGCCTGGCGGGTTCAGCCTCTCACTGGGCACGTCTCGTAAGTCGTCAACGGTGCCCGCCGCGTTCTCGATCTGCTGGCACTGCTCCTCCAAAAACCGCAGCAGGTCATAGAAGGGCGGAATATAGGAGGCCTCGTCCCCGCCGTACCTCTCCTCAAAATGGATTCGAAGGTCGAGAGGTAGACGGGACAGCACGATGCGGAGCAACAAGAAGGCCCATTCGCCCACTGGTAAATCCAGCCGCCTTAACGTATCACAGGCCACTAAGACCGGATCCAACAGGTCCGGACGCAGTCTGGCTCGGTCACCAAGCAGCGGGAGGCTCAGAAGCCGCTTAACCTGTTCGTCCGCAATTCGCCGGACGTTGGCGTATCTTCTGGCTAGGAGGTCCCGAGCAGTCTGGTAGGCGTCGTCCGACAATCTCAAGTGGCCGACGACGCCCAGGGCCTCCCCCTCCAGTGAGGCCAGGAGGTACGCCATCTTTTGGCTCGGGGTCAGGTCACTCCGGGCGTCCACTAGGCTGTCGAAAAGACCAACGAAGGTCAGCCGTTCGGAAAGGACCCCGGAGAACTTTGGCAGGTCCAGAGTTGGGAGTCGTCCCAACAGCTCCGGCTGAAGCTGCTTCAGAGAGGACTCGGGCAGGTTACTCATCCGAGCTTCCCGCGCCTCCTCGGCATACCTGCCTTCAGCCTCGATCAACTCGTCCGTGAGCCACAAGAACTGCTCATATTCCGCAAAGCAAGAGTCCAGGACTCCCTTCTCCACATCCGAATCCTCGAGCTCAGCGTAAGCCTCCTCCACTGCGGCCCTTCGAGCATCCACCTGCTCGAACCGCTTCATCAAGTTATGGACCCTATCCGGTCGACCTATCAAAGCATGGGCACTTGTGGCCCAGCGTAGCTCAGTCCGCAAACAACGGATCAGTAGCTTGGGCGATGTCATCACTATTAAATGCAAATTACGACGCGGCTTGAGCACAGATTACAAAAATAACAAACAAAAGATACAACAAAAATTAACAGTTAATAAATGCAGTTCCTATCAAATCGCGTTGAATAGAAATTACACAAATACGAATTACTACGTATCAACCAAATACAAGTTAGCCCAAAAGAAAAGACACAATCAAACCAACAAACAACAAATACTAGTGCGATCGAATCAAGTTAAAATCAAATTGCGCAAATACAAATTACTACTCTTTAGTTCAAATACAACTTACAGTATAAACGAAGATACACATCACGGTCGATCAACAAAAAATGCCTAGCTCGGAAATCGACCCTTCGATAAGTAATCCACTACAACTATCCGACCACGATAATTAACCGATTACGTAAAAATAACCATCTACCTACATGACGTATATCTCTAGAAAATCTCCCGCTTGCACAACCTAGGGCGCGGCTTTTCAAATAACCCTCTAACCAAAAAAAAGGCAAGCAACAAAGCAACAAAGGAAAATAATTCTATTATTACGTACAAAAAAAATATTTTTACGTATTACGGACGGGCGTGATTGTAGATGCAAATTAAACCAATCACACCAACGCTCCCTGCCACCAAAATTGTTTAATGTTTATCAAACACTATAGTCGGGATCGACCGGGAATCGAACCCGGAATCGCGCTCTGCTACCAATTTGTTACGGCCTACGGCTGCTCCCTTAAAGGACCAGACCGTCAGGGGCCCATGAGCTGAAGGCCTCCCGAGCAGACGTAGGTCGGGCTCCAATGTGGCCACGTGGAAATTCCTAATTACATTAAAATATATGGGGGAGCGTTATACTACGGCCAGTCGACCGGAAGGAATTTGGCGGAGTTCACTTACCTCTATCCAAGGCAACTGGGACCAGTTATCCACAGTCACTTTCTTGGATCACCACGATGACAGTCACTTAACTCTATCGTACGATTAACTAGCTTACAGAAGCCACTAACTATCGCGGGGTATAAGGTTACCGCACAAAACACGCCCGGAGTTTCTGGGTCAAAGGTCACTACCGTTTCGCGTGGCACCAGTTAGTTCTAAATACCGAGGCCGCACTAGCTTATATTGTCGAATGCACTTATACAGATTCTGAGTCGGACCCAATAAGTCCCGGGAAAGGCTATCCAAACAGGGAATGCGCGTTATAATTCCTAGACAGGATATTTACTAGACGCCCTAACTATTCCGCGGTTCCCGCACAAAATTAACAGCGTGCAAACCTTAGCACATCTGGCAGATGACTGACGCGCTTGCGACCCGCGCGCCACTGCCACGATCGGAAGAACTTCAGACCGGAATCGCGCCGAGCCGAGTGACATCTGGTGTCGATTCCGACAACAGAGTTTTGCGCGAACATATGGGGTGATGCGACTGACATCGAAGTCATATTTGTTTTGCAAAAGAGAGCCGTACGGGCGATTTATAACTTAAATTGTAATGAGTCCCTTAGAGAAAAATTTAAAGAAACAAACATATTAACTTGGGCATCGCAATATAATTATGAAAACGTAACTTATGTATATAAACAAAAAACATAAATAAAAAAAGCTTTGATAGGAATAAAGATGTTCATACTTTAAACATTAGGAACAAACATAAGCTTGTAATACTCACTAGACTCCACAGAATTAGTAATTCATTTATGGGGCAGTGTATACCCGCGCTTTTACAACAAAATCCCAGAAAATGTACAAAATTTGTTAATAAACAAATTTAAATGTTTTATTAAAGAAAATTTGTACAAAAAGAGTTATTATAATATCATAGAAAACATAAATGAAAAACCCCTGGTCGCCACCATGCTGGCTCTATTAAAATTCATTTAAAATTTGTACAAACAAAATTATTGTTAAGTGAAATATGTTTAAAAAAAGTCCCGCTGGGTTTCTTGCTGGTTCTACCCAGGACAGAGGTGTTTTCCGAACCAGTGGTAAATAAAACAATGACTTTCAATAAGTATTATATCTAATAATCTATATTGAATAAAAATTATTGTATTCTATGCTATTCTTTTAAGTATGTAAAGTTGCACTTGCTGAATGTTAAGTGGTAATAAATTCCAAAGTCGGGTGGTTGGCTTGTGAAGTAAATGAATTATTATAAAATAAAGTTAAGCTGCAAGGATTATTCAAAGCCAAGCTTCTTTAAGAAACCTTGGAGATTTCAGATCAAACAGTACGTCGAAGGCGAATTTTGAGCCACTTGAGTTGATTTCGGAATTGGGATACATGGTCATATTTACGTAAACCGAATATGAAGCGAATGGATAGATTCTGAAGACGCTGAAGCTTGTTCAATTGCTCCATGGTTATATCAGAGTAGCATATATCAGCATAGTCTAAAATAGGCAATAAAATTGAATGTGCTAACGCAATTTTGGTAGAGATGGGCAGGAAATTTCGGAGTCTCTTAAGACTTCCACAAGCTGTAAACATTTTTTGAAGTTATACTTCTTTTGGGGTGTTTGGGGAAAATGATGAGAGTGAATTTTTAAGATGCGTGCGCACACCGACACCTAAAACAACACCATGAAGTTGACTCTCAAGATTTTTGTTTAGTTAAGTTAAAGAAGTATAACTTCCTACGTGCGGACATAAGTACACACACACACACACACACACACACACACACACACACACATACACTTTTTTTGCTTATCTGTTCAATTTGAGGTGCCCAAAACATTGTAGGTAGGTACTGTAAATTTGAACCCCTAGATTTTTTACAATCTTACTGTAAGGAATAGCAGAATTCTCAAAACACACGGAGGGCAGCGTATGCCAAGTAATTTTTTGTAGTAGTTTGTTGCGACCTATCGCTATTACCTGCGTTTTACTAGGGTTAACCTTAATTCCATAAGATGTGCAAAATTCAGAAATAATTACGAGATCACGATTTATGAACAGCAGGTCTAAAATCATAGAAAGTTCGCTTACGTAATACTTGAACGCCCCCATAGCACGGTGGATGGAAAATTTTAAACAATTGTTTGAGAATATAGGTAGATCGTCTGGTACAGTTGTTTACATACCAGCACTACCGTACTGTTAAATAATCAACATAGAAATAATATGTAGTGTTCTGGGATTAACAACGTACACTATTTTCTTAACCTTTTACTGAATTAAATCCGAAAAAAGTTTAATTGAATGGCGAGTTCAAATCTGCCATAGATTACTAATGATTTGTGCAGAATTTCCGAACGACACTGACGTCATGTCATGTCTGTCATGGTGTCATGTCAGTGAAGTGAAATGTGACGGGTGGTTCATGTTTTGCTTTTTGCATATAACTTGTTGATTTTATTAATTAAATTATTTGTGAAATAGCTAAACACTTTCAGTACTACTACAGTGAGAGATATGTTACATTTTTATAAGTGAATTTATCATATTGGACTCGTCGTTAACGTGCTCCAGGATCTGATTGTGCAGGTAACGGTATATTTTGTTTTTAAGACTTCGATCGTAAATCATTACTTAAACATGAGTAATTTCGAAATTAACATTTTTCTATGTTTTAAATTATTAGAAAAATGTTTATTTATAAAATTCTATTTAAAGATTTGCCAAAATTACTCACAATAAATAAATCTTTGTGACGGATTCATGATAATTGACATTACATTGCGTAGCTAACGCATTTTGTGAACAGCCGTTTGAAAGCAAGGAGTTTAAATTTTCCTAATTATGTGATCCATTCGTAAACTTATTTTAAATAGTAATTTTTTAAGCTTCATTTTTCCCAATTGATCATAATAGACTTCATCATGAATTTTTCAATCAAGGATCAATTTTAATTGTTTATTTTCTTAGATAACTTCATAACATTCATCTCATTTTCTATATACTTTTACTTTAACTTATATTATCTTTATTCTAAGTAAAGTACACTTAGCCTATTACTATATATATCCTTCTAAAACACTTATAAAGGTAAATGTAGTTTATTTACATTTGCAATTAAAGTTTGTGTTATGATTGTGACTGGGAATTTCAGGTAAATATTGAAAACTTTATAAACATAATTAAATTAAACCAAGTTTTTTTGAACACAGTAGTATTTTTGTCAATATATTAACAAATAAAATGTTCATATGTATATGTGTGTTCCTTACAATTGATGAAGGTTGAACAAATTTATTATGTTATGAAAGGATTATATGTAAAGTAACAGCTGACATATATACCATAGCTGGGCTAAGGATTATGAAGCAAGAAAGAGTGTTATCATTCACTCAAATGTATCTATAGTCGTATTTTTAATTAGACGAAGTCAACTGACGTTTACTGTGTTGTCAGTTTTTGATGAAATAAAAATAGTGTTGTGACAAAGTGAATGATTGAAAAACTCCTGAATTAATGAAATTGCCTCGATTGTCTAGTGAATAGTTAGTGTGCTGAACTGCCGATATCGGGTACGGGGTTCGAATTTTAGTCGTGCTTTGTACATACCAACGAGTTTTCAACGACTATGTTCCTATAATATCTACCTATACTGAATACCGAGTGTTTTAAACATTAAGGAAAATATTGCGAGGAAACTTGTAAGACTGTCCTATTTTCAATACATCATGTAGTTGAAACTATAGATGTATAAAATATAACAATTATAGGTAGGTAATGAGAATAAAAAAAATCGCTTATTACATAATTTGTTTTTATTCATTATCAGATAAAAAATCATCACTATCGCTTTCGGTGACATTAATTAAAAATCTGTCAGTAACATTGTCAATCATGTGGTCGAGACCATACATTTTGTCTTCTTTTTTAATTATATGAGACACGCAGCTATTCCATTTTTCAGGTGTGATATGTTGAAGTCCTTCTTCAAAAAGTTTTTTTACTTCTGTCATTTTGAAGGTTTTGTTATTTCTTGCAACATATCCTTTAGCCTGCGCCCATACCAACTCAATGGGATTGAGCTCACAGTGGTATGGGGGCAGACGTAAAACAATTATCCCATGCTGCGCTGCCATCTCGTCCACAACATACTTATCGCAATGTTCTTGCTTGTGCTGCCGTACAATGTCTATAAGAGTAGCTTTAACCATTGTTGCTTCGAATGAAATATTTTTGCTCGTTAGCCACTCTAGTATTCTAGGTTTAGTCCAAGACATTTTAGGCAGCGATTCTAGTTTCCTGGAGTGGTAGGGGGCATTATCCATCACTACTACGGAATTTGGTTTTAGTTTTGGCAAGACCCCCCTAAACCACTTCTCAAAGGAATCGGCATTCATCTCTTGATGATAATCTTCTATATTTTTTTTGGCTTCAAATATTAATAAGCTGTCTTCTACGAATCCTTCTTCCCCGCCTATATGGCCGATAATTAATCGTTTGCCCTTTCCTGAAGGCTGTTTTAAGCCAGTGGTCAAGCCATCTAGGAAGGCCTGGCGGGACGATAACACTGTCTGGTCAATCCATGCCTTCTTCGGTGCATGACCTTCAAGATAGTGAAAAATATCAATTAATTATTGAAAGTACAATTTAATGTAAAGAAAACAGAAAATTGTAATTACCTTCGTTGATCCAGGTTTCATCTTGGTAATAAATATACCTTCCTTCCCTTCGATACTCTTTAATTTTTCGAAGGTATCGCTGGCGCCATAGAATAATGTCCTGTCTGTCAATTAAAATGCTGTGTCTTGATTTTGTGACATATTTGAAATTTAAATGTTTCATAACATTTCTTAATGTACTCCAAGAAAAATTGGGTAAGTCTGGGTCTTCATTGACAACCTTAAGAATCTGTAAAGTAATAAAAATATGTTTTGAGTAAGGAAGTCTACGCAATCTAATACTTTGGTTTTACAAAGAACATTATGGTGGACACAGAATATAATGAAGTAGAAGGAATAAAGTTTAAGTTACCTTTATAATGGTGGGTGACTCATTTGCATAAAAAAAATTATGTACTTTTCGCCTTATAGCGGCAAAAGTAAAATCGTCTAATTTATCTTTGAAACTGTGTTTCGGTCCACGTTTCTCGGGAGACTTAAATTGTTCATTTTCTTTGCATTCTTTTAACACACTGTAAACTGAGGTCACACCAATTCCCAAAATGTCAGCTGTTTTCGAAACACATTCTTTTTTTTCGGGGGCCTCAATAGGTAATAGTGAAGCAGCTTTTTCCTCAAATACGTGTTTGTAGACGTTTTGTATCATAAGTTTTTCGGTAACGCTTAAAGCAATCCGTGGTCTCTTCTTTCTTGGAGACAAGCTTTGGCTTGACGTGCTTGGTTGAGGATCCATATCATTTGTACGAAACAATATAGCAACAAATAAACACAACAATTACCACAAACACAACGTAACGAAAAACTTAACAAAAACAATAACTAAACAGCGTGAGCGCAGAAAAAACATTCGTGCTATCAGACCAGAGGTTAGAAGCCGAATAACAAACAAAATGGCGACCGACGCGCGCGGCGTTGATCGGTGTTGGCAGTAGTCGCCGCGCCGCGCTTTGTAATAAAACCTCAAAAAACTGATTGTAGTTACATACTACTAGTAACTTATATCAGAGCACTTTTATACAATTTTATTGTAAAATAGAAATAATATTCTTTTATAGTTTGAAATGATTAACTATACACACTCATTGTTCATTCATCTGATTGAACGAGAACTGAACGCATCACTATTACTTTAAATATGGCAACATTATTTTACAAAGTGACATTAGCTACTGTCAGTTGGCTTCGTCTAATTAAAAATACGACTATAGTAAATTACACAATATTAATTATTTAATTTATTAGATGGGTGGACACCAAACTGGTTCCTTGCATTATATGTGTTTTTGAATTGAGCCCCTTATCTACCATGTTTCAGCTATAGTAATGTATAATGTTTATGTTAAAGTAAGAATAATAACCTTACAATTATTATTTAGAAGGCAGAAACAGCAAAGCATTTATTACGACTTATAATGTGAAACTTTTCCTAACATAAACTCTCATTCAACTTTTATAAAAAGAAAAGTACTTCCCACCAAGATTTTACACACCAGGAATTTATTTCCTTTCTCTAATTTATAGCTACTCGCCATACAAATAAAGAATAGGATTAGAAATGGCAGCTTATTGTGCTTATACTGTCAGCATATAAGGTACCTAAAGCCAAAACAAGTAATAATATTAAGTAACATAAATTAAAAAACAAATCTGCTCTTTCTATCATTGTTACCATTCTTAATATATCTTTCTTTATTTGCACTCTATGCACTTTGGTCCAACTTGAGAGATAGGATAGTTTTTATCCCGATAAGTGACCCTCAATTAGATATGAGCGCCGTGCCGGCGTGCCGCCGTCGCCGTGAGTATATATCGACGCGTCGCCGCCGCGTGTCGTAACTTCCTTTCCCGCTCACACGCGCGGCCCAACCTTTTGTTCGCCTTGTCGCGCTCGTCACTCACTCAGTCGAGTCAAATATTTCACCAAGTGAATGTGTATTGTTGTGTGGTGTTGCACGTATGGGCCGGTTCAAGCCGGGGTGGTACCACAACCTCACAGAATACTAGCGTGAAAATGAAAATTCCGCTCAAGACAATAATAAATGCTCGGGGCAAGCTGAGCAACAAGGCCAAGGCGACCCCTGCCACGTGACTGTAACATCAGGGGACTTCACTCGAACCTAAACGCCGTTCACTACCATCTCGAGGCGGCAAAACCAGCCTTGCTCTTTCTGACCGAGACGCAGGTGTCCTCTCCGGCTGATACTTCGTATCTCTCCTACCTGGGGTAGAAATTGGAACACTCCTTGTACCTCGGGCTCGAGTTTGCATATACATCACAGAGGACATCTGTTCTCGACGCCTTGGCAGTCTTGAAGGACCTGTCCATCCTTTGGCTACGCGTAGACAGCGACGACTATCCGCATATTTACGGGTGCCTCTATAGGTCGCATAACGGTAATGCCGAAATAGACCAATTCATCGTCCAAATAACTACAGGTTCTTTGCTACAGTAGATCCCATCCGCAGAGATTGTGATCCTCGGCGATTGTAACGCCCACCACGCCGAATGGCTCGGTTCATGTTTAACCGATCATGCAGGGAGACTTTGTCTCATTCATGATTTTGCCTAGGCATATGATCTGACACAACTGGTAACTTCGCCTACGCAGATTCCAGATATGGAACATCATGCACCTTCCCTGTTGGACTTTCTGCTGACCTCTCATTCAGATAGATATCAGGTCTCCATCCACTCCCCTCATGGCTCCTCAGATCATTGTCTAGTCCAGAGTGTGGTGCCACTCGCACTAATATCGCGATTGCATTTTACAGGCTAGCTAAAAAAGGCGACCGCTCAGACCCGTCTAGCTATGCTTATCGCCATCACTTTGTTCTCCAAACTAATGGAATCCATTATAAACTACCAGCTTATACGGTATCTTGAGGACCACCAGCTAATTAGTGACCGCCAATACGGTTTTCGTCGGGGTGGGTCAACTGTTGATATTCTGTTCTACCTGACTCATAGATGGGCGGAGGCATATGAGTCCAAGGGGAGGCATTGACCGTTTGTTTGGACATTGCGAAGGCCTTTGATCGGGTTTGGCACAAAGCGCTTCTTTCGAAGCTCCCGTTCTATGGGCTGCCCGAGAAATTGTGCAATTGAATCACCAGATTTCTTACAGGTTGGAGCATCTCCTCAGTTTCAAGGCACTCTCCTTGTTGCCTGAGCCAGTATCGGAATCCTCGGCGTCGACATATCGAGCGACGTGCAGGTTTCGTGATCACTTGGAAGAGAAGGCCAAATTGGCCTCTAAAATGCTTTGTGTGCTCAGCAGAGCGGGACAGTATTTCATGCCGGCACACCGCCTGCAACTTTATAAGGCAGAGGTTCGGCCTCACATGAAATACTGTTCCCATCACTGGGCAGGAGCTCCCCAGGGCTTTATTAAAAAATATAAAGCTGTTTTTGGTGCCAACAATATGGTTTTCTTTAAGTTTTTTTTTTTAAGAAATCTATTCCTGATAAAACAATATCTAAGGCCAGCCACGCCGCATCGCCGCGACGCCGCCGCCGCCAAGAAAATTTTCGGGCCACGCCGCCGCCGTGGAATTGGCCTTTGGCGCTCATATCTACCATCAATATTTTATTGCGAACTTAAGGATTTTTATAGGACAAATGGTCGGCGAAAGGGCAGAAAAACGTCTGCCTGGCCAGCTAGTATATTTATATTTTTGAACTATCACCTGCTAGTCTACCTTGCAAGGTGGTTGGTCGAGCTACCAAATGTAGACCGCTCAACAGCAGTGCATGCCTACTGTTTTGGTTTATATGTTATAGAGATACAGTGTAATTACAGGCAGTGAGCCCATCTTAGTCCTCAGAGGTGACAACACAGCAATATTAACTTTTTAATTTATATTATATAAATACTTACTTTACTTACTTACAATGTTTATGTTAGTTTAATGGGAAATTTCTAATTTTTCAAAAATCTGATAAATTAATTGAAATCAAATTTTTAGTCATTGTTACTACTAAATAAAACAATTTTTATTTACAATAGAATCATAGTATTGATAATTTATGTAATGTTACTCAAGCCTAAAGTTAGAAGTAATTAAGTGCTTAATGTAACACTTTATTGACATAATTTTTTTTTTGGACATTACTAGCAGGTATAAGTATAGACAGCGATAGTGTGTAAGCAAGTGGTGATTAGAGGCAACACCATTTATAATCCCATTCAATATTTGCATAAGTAATCCTATAATTACAAACTATGCAAAGAAAATGTCACTTAGACTGAGTGGTGTAACTTTAACATAATATTATGAGAATTATGTTTTTTTTTTATAGGATTGGGGTGACAAACGAGCACACAGTCCACCTGATGGTAAGTGGTTACTGTGGCCCATAGACATCTACATCTATCCTCCATTATGAATTAAAATGCAGATGCGTTGTCACCCGTGAGGACTAAGATGGAATGCCTCGTTTCCAGTAAAAAAGGTCTCCGGTTCTCTACACTCACCATATGAAACACAACAGTGTTAAGCTGCTATTTTACGCTGGTATTCTGTGAGAGCATGGTCCTTCCCTGGTCGAGCCGACCCATTCGTGCTATAACTATACCAGTAATATAGCTGCAGCATGGCTCTACCACGTAAAAATGTAAAGATGCAGTGTCACTGAATATGTTATAGAACTATTTAGATATAGTTTTGCCATTACAATAGCTGTTGTTCTTGTTACACAAAAATCACAGTGAAATGTCATTGTTACTTTGTTGTATTGATAATGTTACATAGTGGGAATGTTGGAATATTTTAAATTTATACCAGATTGGAGACTAAACACAATTTGGTAATTAAAAGTTTGTTAATACTGATCTTGATTACATATTCACTGAGACATTATTTATTTCATGTCTCTTACCATAAGTTATTTTTGCGATGTCCCCATGTCTTATCACTTCTTGGACTTTTGGCTAAGATCAAATCTAGTATTAATATACCATTGCTAGAGATACATATGATTGACACAATCATGTCACAACCATACACCAAAACCAACATCCGAAATATATAGTTGAGCCATGCTGCAGCTATATTACTGGTATAACTGTAGCACAAATGGGTCGGTTCGACCATTTGTGCTACAGTTATACCAGTAATGGAGAAGGACCAGACTCTCACAGAATACCAGTGTAAAATAGACCCTTTTAAATGGAAACAAGGCATTCTATCTTAGTCCTCACGGGTGACAACACATCAGCATTATGGTTCGTAATCGAGGATGGATGTAAATATCTATGGGCCACAGCAACCACTTACCATCAGGTGGACTCTGTGCTCAATTGTCACACATTGACGCATGTGTGATAGGATAAGTCCTATAAAAAATTACTCCAGCTAAGATTTAAGGCCAATCGGATTTTAGGTCAATCGGTTTTGACAATTTAGTAATATAAAGTGGTTCCTGTACAAATTATTGGCCCATAATTACACACAAACATATGATTTGAGAGAAATTAAACTACAACTAAATTTTTTTTTTTTATATTTAGAAACTTAATTACTTATAGCTAATTCCTTAGTTTGACAATGTGGGGTGTGCAAGCCCCGTTCACCTACTGTACTGCTGTGTCGCCACATTTCTGTTCTCAACATCATCATTGACAGGTTCTAGTGGTGTCACTCTTGTTGGTATGAAACTTGATTCAAACCAGTTGTACAAAAGTCTTAAAATAAGTTGTACATAACATACATTCTATGTTTTCAAGTATTCTCAGTATTCAAACATTCACATGTTTCTTATAGAATTTGCTGTATATATGATCCCAAAATAATAGCTGCTGGCCAGGTAAGAGTTGATTTGTTAACGACCTGTCAAATAACAAATATGGAACCACTGTTATTTTACCTTCAAAGTCCTGTGGCGTGGGCACTGGCTCCCATATCACTGGTATGAGGCTAGTTGTTAGTGGAGTTGGGTCTCTGCGACAGAAAAAAAATTTCATTATAACTATAATCAGCTTTCTGATGTATTATGATTTCTTATATTTACACAAAGACTACACATTAAATGAAACTAATTTTATGGGTAAACGCAATAAAATCTGTAAAATTAGTTTCATTTAATTCCTGATATATTTTTTTTATAATATAAATGTGACAAAATAGCCATCAGTCAACTTGATTGATAGTAAGATTGCTGCATCCAATACAGGTGTCCATGGGATTTCTAACTTTTAACCTAGAAGATTCCGGATATGTTGCCACCCCTGAAGTCTTAGATGAAATGCCTGTAATTAAACTGTCTCATTAACCCTCCAAACTGGAGTATAGTTTCACAAGACTGTCTAAAACATTATTCATCATATTTGAAACACTATAAGACGCTATTGCTGTGTTTGTAAAACTGTAAAACATAAGAAAGCTTGGGTACAAGATTCAATAAGTTATTGTGGACTTAAGGCCTAAGACCACATCAAAAAATGGTATTGTTGTAATGGTGTAATTGTTGGCTGATAGCAAAAAAAGAAGGAGGTCTTCAATTCAACTGTATGTACTACTTTTTTAGTAGTTACCTATGTTATACGACTCCATCGTCGGTTGTTAATTAATTTTAATAATTCTTTTCTATTAAAAAACCGGCCAAGTGCGAATCGGACTCTCGCACCGAGGGTTCCGAACAATTCCGTAGGTATATAAGTTTAAAATTTTTAAAAATATTTTTATTATATGATGTAACTAAAAATTTATGCTTTTCGTAATTTTTCTTTTATTTGTGCTATAATACGTTGCTTCGTACCAAATTTTAAGATTCTGAGTTCACGGAAAGTACCCTGTAGGTTTTGATTCCCTTGCGAATGTCGAAAATTTGCGGCATAAACGGCTGTATCTTTTAATTGCGTTGGCTTAGAAGTTAGAATTTTTTCACAGCTCCAAGGGACAGTAGACTTGAGTATTTGATATGAATTTCAGCTTGATATCTCCACGCGTTCCTGAGAAAAAGGGTCTTGACAGACAGACAGACGGACATCAAAATAATCCTATAAGGGTTCCGTTTTTTCCTTTTGAGGTACGGAACCCTAAAAAGTTAAACACAGGTGGAACAATATAAAATTGAAGAAAAAATAACATCCCATTTTATCCCTCAAATAGTCAAGCTTCCCTTTTTTTCTTTTCTAACAGCCTATCAAAAGTCCACTGCTGAACATAGGCCGCAATTTTATAGGCGCTAATTCGATTTAGCGGACTGTAAGTATGTTTGCAAACGAAGAAAACCGCTTGCAAAGCGTGGCGTTTACAAACCTTTGCTACTCTAGGATAGAATAGATCCATTTCCTGCACCTGTTTACAGTCTAAGGCATAAGGTGAAGGAGTAAAACTTAGAAAAAGTTGAATTGATTGACTATTTACATAATTAAAAATTAAAAATTTTGTACAGCCGGCTTCAATATAAGTTATTAAGAATAACTCAAAAACTATTGGTCTGACTTTGATCAAATTCATATGGGACCACACGAGAAGTACCAGCTTTCAAATAAAAAAGAATCCTCCAAATCGGTTCACCCAGCAGAAAGTTCTGAGGTAACACACATAAAAAAAACATACAGTCGAATTGAGTACCGTCTCCTTTTTGGATGTTGGCAGAAAACTACGTCACTAAAGGTACAAATTGCGGACTTAATGCCATATGGCATTTTCTACATTTATTTTTTCTAAAATTAGGAGATTAAGTATGAAGAGCAACAGTATAAGCATCTGTCTTAATTTGTACATACACGAGATCGTTTCCAGTCTGCACCAATGATATTGTTAATAGCAATTGTAAATGCTGAATTTTAGATTGTAAATTTAGATTGTAAACCACGTGCCACGTGCCACGTGTTCAGTGGTGAAGGAAAACATCGTCAGAAAACTGAACCTCCCTCAAAAATGAGAGTAGGCCTTTACTTAGCAGTGGGACATGTAGGGTTACTTCAATCACTTTATAGATTTTAAGTAATTTTTTAAACAACTCACCCCATCTTTATGAAGTTAGTAATCAACGTGACCAGCCTATCAGCAATTTGTTTTTCATCTCCGCTCAATCTTTCATTTGAAAATATGTACATATAAATATCACCGTGTCCGGCGCCTGGTATCTCCTCTTGTTTGACACTACTCTTGCTACCTCTATATGTAAACTTCATCAGATATACTGGTTGAGAAGCTCTTGCGTGTAGTATTGACGACTTGATTACGGGATATTCAACAAAAATGTCGTTTACGTAATCGACGTAATTAGGAATCAAACTGTCGCCCACCTCGTTCTCACCGAAATAAAACTCCTTCACAAGTTTCGCAAGCTTGTGCTTGAAAACCTCGCTTTCATACTTCAGGTTATTCGGTAACAAATTTTCAAAATTGTCGGGTATAACGTTAAACCTTTGTATATTGTCTGAGATGATTTTGACTTCAACTGCATTAGTGTATGCGATCATGAGTGGCACATGATAAAAATGTGCGTCCTTTAATATATCGACTGGGTCCATTTCCAATAAGCTGTTAATGCTGGATGAATCTCGCTCGATACACGGCAAGAACATTTCGGTAACGTTCACTAAAGTATTTAAAGGGACTTGCTGAAAAAATTTCGCTATATCGTCCGGTTTGCCTTCACCGTCATACCCTAAAGTTGATGCGACTTCTAGCGCAGTTACAAATGGCGTGTAGGACACAGATGTCGGTGCTAAAGCCGAGCCGGACTCCAAAATTGCTCGATGAAAGAGTCCCACTGTCGAACCGGATACCATCAGCAACTCTACTGCCACTGCGCCAGAGCCTGTTCCATAAATAGTGACGTCCGTAGGATTTCCACCAAATTTTTTGATGTTTCTTTGAACCCAGTAGAGCGCCGCTACTTGGTCTTTTAAGCCAGCGTTTCCTGGTGCGTCAACGGATCCAAGACAAAGGAATCCAAGAGCTCCAAGACGGTAGTTAAACGTCACAATTATCAAATTTTGCTGAAGAAGACTTGACGGCGCTCTATATGATCCCCATCTGAAATATCACAGACACACTGCATTATCAGCTATACTGCAGCAATCGGTGTCAAGTTGTGTGTTATATCTATCTTAACTAGCACATTAATAATTACATCGTTTCCACTTAAGAAACTAAATAAGTTAGTTTATTTGGGAAAAGATAATATATCACATAATACCGCGTTCCGTCCGGTACGTATCGACAACCTAAAGCCCATTTACTTGCAACGAGGTATTTTGTCTTAATCTTATAATCCAAAGTATTATAATTAACAGTGGTAGAGCCATGCGGCAGCTTTTGCTGTTGCACGGATGGGCCGGCTCGAACCGGAGTGGTACCACGACCTCACAGAAAACCAGCGTGAAGTAGAGGTTTTTCTCTGCGTTTCGCTTGGTGAGTGCAGGTGGCCGGAGGCCCTTTTTACTGGAAATGAGGCATTCCATCTTAGTCCTGACGGGTGACAACGCATCTACGTTTTGATTTGTAATAGAGGATAGATGTAGATGTCTATGGGCCGCAGCAACCACTTACCATCAGGTGGACCGTGTGCTCGTTTGTCACCCTTATACTATAAAAAAAAAGTAGTAATAATGCAACCAGATTTTACACTAAGATTAAAATTGGTAAAATATTACTTCGCGTACATCCGCTCGATAAAATAAAATGATTTGTCTTACCTAGTTTAAAGAGCACCTCCTACCCTCCCTCAATTGCATGCACTATCTCCGTCACCACTAATCCCAGCACCACTATTCCCAACACCACTACACTAGAAAAGACACACCACTGACAACAATACGACACGTATCTTCAGGTAAGAGTAATCTTCGGGTAATCTAGACTCTGCGGTGGCTGACCGCTAAGTGAGCGGCGAGCCAAAACAACTCCTATTTATACAGCCTGTTTTGTTTAGGTAAGACACATCATTTTATTTTATCGAATGGATGTACGCGTAGTAATTTTTTACCAACTTTAATATAATGGACTTCCGCAAAGTAACCCCTGATTCTATTAATTATTTTCACTAAGAGTCTAAAGGTAGTACAGGATTAAATGCTAACTTGTGAAGGTGAAGATGCTAAGGCCCAAAGACACGATGCGATACATACGAGTGCAACTATCTACGATTAATAATCAAATGCAGATGTGTTGTTACTATGAAAAGTTTGATGGAATCCTCGTTACCGGTAGAAAGGGACTCTAAAACACGACAGCATTAAGCGGCGATTTCACGCTGGTACTCTGTGAGAGCGTGGTCCTTCCCCGGTCGAGCAGATACATTGATGCTACAACCATAAAATAGCTGCAGCGTGGCCCTATTAGGTACGTGTTAAGATGATCATCAACCATACAACTTAAATTTAAGATTAAAGCGATTATGGTGCCATAAAATTGCAGTATTGTAAATTGGAAAAATAAAAGAAAATACGAACAAATGAAGATAGTACTGTATTCCCCCATTTAATTTAATAGTATAATGGGAGACAGACTGCTCCCACGTACGTAACGTATGCGATGCAACGCTCCCACCTTAGTGTACACACTTGCCCTACGTATACAACGTACGTTTGGCGTCAGACACTTGTCACTTTTTAGCGCACGTATGAGTTCAAACTTAAAGCATGCTTTCTGATTTTGGTAGTCAATTTGAAAATGATTTACTTAGTCTGATGTTCATAAATGAATATATCCACGACATAAAGAAAAAACGTTAAGAAGCATTAATTATGAAAATGGAAAATGATGACGAACGGTTTTTTCTGTACTTTCGTATGACAAAAGTACAATTTGAGGAGATTCATAAAATTATTGAGTGATATAAAAAAGGAAAATACACATTTGCGGAAGTCTATTGGTGCCAGAGAAAGACTCGCAGTGTGTAAAATTAAAAACTATTATCCAATAACATTTAAAGATATTCAGTTTTTTGTGTCTCCTGAAAAATTATGACGCAATGAATTCCCCTCCTTAAATCTTACATATATACGGGACAAAAATTTTATCCCCCGATTATATCCACTGACAAGAGATAAAATTATCTTGTCCATATGCCAAAGCACGTCAACGGGGAGAAGTATATCCCCGTTTGACATGACGAGTAGACATATATCCCCCCAGTCCGTAGCATGGAGCCAAATTAAAGATAAAAAAATTTGCTTTTTTGACATTTGAAAGGGTCTATCCTAGGGTTCTATCCTAGTTCATTGGACATGGGTATAAGTTTATATTCATACAAAAAATCTATCTAAAAGGTGGATCAAAGGGTGGATAAAACTAATCGAGGGGATAAACATTTTCTCCTTTCTCCGGGGATATAATTGTCTCCTGCCCATGCTAGCCCTGCAGAAGTGGAAAAATTTGTAACATCAGAAGTAAGATTAAAGCTTATTCTTGTAGCTCTACATTGTAATTTATAACATCAGAAGTGAGATTAAAGCTTGTTCTTATAGCTATACATTCTAATTTATAACATCAGAAGTGGGATAATTTCTTACATCATTAGTGATATGATAAGAGTGACAAAGCAAATTTATGTTGCAGAGGTGAACGGCATAGTCGGGAAGGGTCGCCCTAGGCGAAAGTTTATCGACCAAATTGGCGACATATTAAAAATGGGCCAAATCAAGAGTACCTTTAACCGACGAGCGTGTATGCGTAGGTATATGGATGTGGAGGAAGCGAGAGAGGTGTGTCAGGATCGTGCCTAATGGAAGTCCATAATCTCTGCCTACCCCTCTGGGTGACAGGCGTGAGTGTTTATGTTTATGTTTATGTATTAGTGATATTAAAGCTTATTCTTGTAGCTCTACATTCTAATTTTAACATCAGAAATGAGATTAAAGCTTTTCTTGTAGCTATACATTCTAATTTATAACATCAGAAGTGGGATAATTTCTAACATCAGAAGTGAGATTAAAGCTTATTCTTGTAGCTCTACATTCTAATTTATAACCACAGAAATTAGATTAAAGCTTGTCCTTGTAGCTATACATTCTAATTTATAACATCAGAAGTGAGATTAAAGCTTATTCTTGTAGCTCTACATTCTAATTTATAACCACAGAAATTAGATTAAAGCTTGTCCTTGTAGCTATACATTCTAATTTATAACATCAGAAGTGGGATAATTTCTAACATCAGAAGTGAGCTTAAAGCTTATTATTGTAGCTCTACATTCTAATTTATAACATCAGAAGTGAGATTAAAGTTTGTTCTTGTAGCTATACATTCTAATTTATAACATCAGAAGTGGGATAATTTCTAACATCAGAAGTGAGCTTAAAGCTTATTCTTGTAGCTCTACATTCTAATTTATAACATCAGAAGTGAGATTAAAGCTTTTCTTGTAGCTATACATTCTAATTTATAACATCAGAAGTGGGATAATTTCTAACATCAGAAGTGAGCTTAAAGCTTATTCTTGTAGCTCTACATTCTAATTTATAACATCAGAAGTGAGATTAAAGCTTGTTCTTGTAGCTATACATTCTAATTTATAACATCAGAAGTGGGATAATTTCTAACATCAGAAGTGAGCTTAAAGCTTATTCTTGTAGCTCTACATTCTAATTTATAACATCAGAAGTGAGATTAAAGCTTGTTCTTGTAGCTATACATTCTAATTTATAACATCAGAAGTGAGATTAAAGCTTGTTCTTGTAGCTATACATTCTAATTTATAACATCACAAGTGGGATAATTTCTAACATCAGAAACGGGAGTAAAGCTTGTTCTTGTAGCTATACATTCTAATTTATAACATCAGAAGTGAGATTAAAGCTTGTTCTTGTAGCTATACATTGTAATTTATAACATCAGAAGTGAGATTAAAGCTTGTTCTTGTAGCTATACATTCTAATTTATAACATCAGAAGTGAGATTAAAGCTTGTTCTTGTAGCTATACATTCTAATTTATAACATCAGAAGTGAGATTAAAGCTTGTTCTTGTAGCTATACATTCTAATTTATAACATCAGAAGTGAGATTAAAGCTTGTCCTTGTAGCTATACATTCTAATTTATAACATCAGAAGTGGGATAATTTCTAACATCAGAAGTGAGCTTAAAGCTTATTCTTGTAGCTCTACATTCTAATTTATAACATCAGAAGTGAGATTAAAGCTTGTTCTTGTAGCTATACATTCTAATTTATAACATCACAAGTGGGATAATTTCTAACATCAGACACGGGAGTAAAGCTTGTTCTTGTAGCTATACATTCTAATTTATAACATCAGAAGTGAGATTAAAGCTTGTTCTTGTAGCTATACATTCTAATTTATAACATCAGAAGTGAGATTAAAGCTTGTTCTTGTAGCTATACATTCTAATTTATAACATCAGAAGTGAGATTAAAGCTTGTTCTTGTAGCTATACATTGTAATTTATAACATCAGAAGTGAGATTAAAGCTTGTTCTTGTAGCTATACATTCTAATTTATAACATCAGAAGTGAGATTAAAGCTTGTTCTTGTAGCTATACATTCTAATTTATAACATCACAAGTGGGATAATTTCTAACATCAGAAACGGGAGTAAAGCTTGTTCTTGTAGCTATACATTCTAATTTATAACATCAGAAGTGAGATTAAAGCTTGTTCTTGTAGCTATACATTCTAATTTATAACATCAGAAGTGAGATTAAAGCTTGTTCTTGTAGCTATACATTCTAATTTATAACATCACAAGTGGGATAATTTCTAACATCAGAAACGGGAGTAAAGCTTGTTCTTGTAGCTATACATTCTAATTTATAACATCAGAAGTGAGCTTAAAGCTTATTCTTGTAGCTCTACATTCTAATTTATAACATCAGAAGTGAGATTAAAGCTTGTTCTTGTAGCTATACATTCTAATTTATAACATCACAAGTGGGATAATTTCTAACATCAGAAACGGGAGTAAAGCTTGTTCTTGTAGCTATACATTCTAATTTATAACATCAGAAGTGAGATTAAAGCTTGTTCTTGTAGCTATACATTCTAATTTATAACATCAGAAGTGAGATTAAAGCTTGTTCTTGTAGCTATACATTCTAATTTATAACATCAGAAGTGAGATTAAAGCTTGTTCTTGTAGCTATACATTCTAATTTATAACATCAGAAGTGAGATTAAAGCTTGTCCTTGTAGCTATACATTCTAATTTATAACATCAGAAGTGGGATAATTTCTAACATCAGAAGTGAGCTTAAAGCTTATTCTTGTAGCTCTACATTCTAATTTATAACATCAGAAGTGAGATTAAAGCTTGTTCTTGTAGCTATACATTCTAATTTATAACATCAGAAGTGGGATAATTTCTAACATCAGAAGTGAGCTTAAAGCTTATTCTTGTAGCTCTACATTCTAATTTATAACATCAGAAGTGAGATTAAAGCTTGTTCTTGTAGCTATACATTCTAATTTATAACATCACAAGTGGGATAATTTCTAACATCAGACACGGGAGTAAAGCTTGTTCTTGTAGCTATACATTCTAATTTATAACATCAGAAGTGAGATTAAAGCTTGTTCTTGTAGCTATACATTGTAATTTATAACATCAGAAGTGAGATTAAAGCTTGTTCTTGTAGCTATACATTCTAATTTATAACATCAGAAGTGAGATTAAAGCTTGTTCTTGTAGCTATACATTCTAATTTATAACATCAGAAGTGAGATTAAAGCTTGTCCTTGTAGCTATACATTCTAATTTATAACATCAGAAGTGGGATAATTTCTAACATCAGAAGTGAGCTTAAAGCTTATTCTTGTAGCTCTACATTCTAATTTATAACATCAGAAGTGAGATTAAAGTTTATTCTTGTAGCTATACATTCTAATTTATAACATCAGAAGTGAGATTAAAGCTTGTTCTTGTAGCTATACATTCTAATTTATAACATCAGAAGTGGGATAATTTCTAACATCAGAAGTGAGCTTAAAGCTTGTTCTTGTAGCTATACATTCTAATTTATAACATCAGAAGTGAGCTTAAAGCTTATTCTTGTAGCTCTACATTCTAATTTATAACATCAGAAGTGAGATTAAAGCTTGTTCTTGTAGCTATACATTCTAATTTATAACATCAGAAGTGGGATAATTTCTAACATCAGAAGTGAGCTTAAAGCTTATTCTTGTAGCTCTACATTCTAATTTATAACATCAGAAGTGAGATTAAAGTTTATTCTTGTAGCTATACATTCTAATTTATAACATCAGAGGTGGGATAATTTCTAACATCAGAAATGGGAGTAAAGCTTGTTCTTGTGGCTCTACATTCTAATTTATAACAATACATATATACGAGTATACGAGCGATTTCCACAATTTCTACGAATAAATTCTAAATCATTTTATGAAATTATAGTACCTTACCCCTTTTGAAAATCTCCGTCGTGAACATGTACAAGTACTGGCAGGGATGTAACATGCTCCGGGGTGAACACATTGATTACTAGACAGTTCTCTACTCCATCCTCGTCTACTTGGGGACACTTGATACGGTGGGTCGCCTCGAAAACGCCGTCCCAGTGAGGTGGAGGTTCTGGAGCCTACAAAGCATATATTTCTTAATTCTTAATTGTAGCTAGGGGTCCTCTGGACCCATATTCCATGTTTAAAAACATGCGAGTCGCCGCTTACTCTACTATATTATTATAATATTAATATTTACAATAAACATACCATACTTCCATTTTTAATACCAATTAAGAATCCGTAGTCCACTGGGACCCACGACTTTAGAGACCTTAGTAACCTTTGCGACTAAAGGATTAAACATAAGAAAACATGTCTCAATAAACAAAACGGTAGGTACTTAATTTGTCAGACTGATTTGCGTTTATGGGGAGCATCATCTGATTGTTAAACGACCGTGGCAAAGCCTATGAGATAAAGTTTATCGCCTGCAATGCTCTGGTTACTCATACGCTGATCCTAAATAGGGACATTTTATATTTTTTGAGGGTTTTAGAGCAAAGAAGAACCGAAACTAATGTGGTTTGCGGACTTAACATGTTTGTATTCGGAGTTGTGTTCGGATTTCACTGTTTTCCTTCACCACCGATCATGTGGTATGTCACCATTTAAAAATACAATTTAATATATTGTTAGTGCTGGTGCTGTGATCAAACTCTGTTTTGGTCAACATTGCTTATCTCAGCAACAGCTCCCGATTCCAAAATATATAATGCGTTATATTCAAACGGCTATGTTTTATATTATTTCGAACTCAGTCAAGTAATTTTATCTATTGAAAGGACCTCTTCAACCTGCGAATTTGTTTGCATATTTGATGGATTATGATAAACATAAAGTTCTCTGTTTGATCATTGCTAAATCTATAGACGTCGATGAAGTTACATCAGCGTAGGTACTCCTACTTTTATGTCACAAGTAGTTTAGAAATAAATAGAGATAACTGTAATAAAATATATATAGATTTTTTATTGAAGAATCATGTCTTCACCGTCGTGATGGGGTTTATGTTCCACTAAATAAAATAGACTTGGTACTACAAACATTTGGAGGAAAAATAATTAACGTTTAGTCTTTGCAACAAGTAATAATAATATGTAAATAACATAGTAAATTAATTTACAGCGATAAAGATCTACACCTCTACGTAAATTAGATGTGTGTCTAACAACAAATGAAGTGGCTGACCTTAAACCTGTCGTAACGCGTGGGCGGGCGGGCGTAAGGGACGCCCAGGAAGGCATAGTGGGGTGGGTTCGGGAAGAGGTAACCTCTTACCAAACCTTGCGTCGTCACAACATCGCGATGCGGTCTTACGGACTGCAGAGGCAAACGTCCAGTCGCACAGCGCCATAACAAAATATGTACCAACGCCGCGAGTCTCATGTTCACCTGGTACACATTGTCTATGTAATTTTTGAAGATTTAATAAAAAATAATTTCTTTTTGTTCACATAAGTCCGACTATTACGAGAATGAATCGTATAGTGGTCGTAGGCAATGCTAATGTTTCTTTACCTTCTACGATATCTCTGTTATCATAACAGCCGGCTGTCTAACCTAAACATCGCACGTGTGAAGCCTTACGACGTTCTAAAACCGATGGATGGAAAATAATAACACACAATTTTATTCAACTACAATTTAATACTTAATAATGCTTGCGACAAAAGCCTTGGTACGTGGCTTAAACGATACTCACTATTGTAAGAATTTAACAGCGTCTTCTAAGTTATGAGGCACAATCACTATCAATTTAAGCTGACATTACTTAACTTATCAAATTGTGCTACGTGTACGTACGTGTAAGTGTTTCACTAAATGATATAAAATCGGTTTAAATACAATAAATGTCTACATTGAAATAATGTGAGATAACGCTACTTTGCAATTAATTTCTAAAATAATATTTTCGTTAAACAAATAAATAAAAACATTGTGAACATAAGAGAATATACGTATGGTGTAACAACAAAACCACGATTATGCTCGATGAAATACATTCCATATATCTCGCTCCATAGCTTCAGGCGGTCAACGTGTATTCCTTTTTGTGGCATAACTTCAGATCCTATTAAAAGCCAGTTTTCATTCGGCTCTTCTGTTTGCTCTACTCGTTGCCACTCTATTTTATCCGCCGTTGGTTTACTGCAAAACATAAAATAATTTATGATACTACAGTTTAAGTAATTCTTTAGTACGCTATATTGCTTATTTTAAGCCTTTTTTAAATATTAATAACTATCGATAACAAACTAATTACATTGGTAGAGAAAATATTATTATATTAAAGGATTATTACCCAGTATGAATAAAGCTTGTCCACAAATCTGTCACCACTTCAACCATATATTTTTCTTTCGTATCATCAGTGAGGATTTGTCCTTCGTAGCAGAATACATATCTGGCGATGTCTCCTATGGATGCCCCGTGTATCTTTACCGAGGATAGAATTTCTCGATTGAAGTCGCCTACGAAAGCAAACTCGTAGAAATACACTTGAGCTCCTGCTGCCACTAAGGATCTAGTAGAACGTATCATTGGCGCTAAGTATGAAGCATCCGTATAATACAATGAGAGTTCTTCTACTGTATCTAATGTAACAGTATTGTTGCCGAAGTATTGATTTTTTAGTTTATTTGCAATTTCTGATTTTTTCTCATTTTGTTGAAAATCTAAATCATCGGGCAAAATGACACCAAAATCTTCATCGAGTTCTGATAAACTGCTTTCTGTGTGTTGTAATGCTTCTTGCATACCAGCATGACTCGTGGACCCTATCATGAATAAAATATTTGTTTTTAAACTATTAAGTAAGATCCAAGGAGTCTTAGTTATAAATGATTTGTCTCCATCCTCTATACAAGGAGCAAATTTCATATCCTTCGCTGCAAGAATTAAAGCCGCTAAACTAGAATTTTCAAATTCATCATATTCTGCTGTTACTGCGTCTATAGGATAATTATTTTTCTGTGTTAGATTGTTTACTGTTGTAAGCGGATCCCTATCTAAAGCCCAATGAGACAAAACAAAACCACTTTCTGTGATAACCTTTGAGACATAATCTCTTGATGAGGGTGATATAGATAAATATCCCGCTAATGCTCCAGCACTACCCTCTCCGCTTATGACAATATTTAAAGGGTTTCCTCCAAATGCTGCTACATTATGCTTTATCCATTTTAATGCTAAAGTCAAATCTTTAAGAGCTGCGTTGCCTGGTATAGTATCATTTCGCAAACACAAAAATCCAAGTGGGCCTAATCTATAATTAGGAAGGACCAATATAATTCCTTTAGGAACTATGTACTCCGGTCCATAAATGGATGGATTTCCGCTCCCATTATTTAAACTTCCATCATGTATATGAAACAAAACACCTGAATTATTTGCCTCTATTGGTACCATAATATTAAGGGTCAAACAATCGGTATCGCCTACAAATTTATCAGGATGTTCGATTTGAGGGCATCGCGACTTGTGTTCATTATTATTGTGAACATTTTTCCAAGGTTCTGATGGCGATGGTTCCTAAAATATTCCAAATATAATTACAAAAACTAATAAAGATAAGTTTAGATGAGTTGATTAAAAAAAAAAATAATTATAAACTTATAACTAAATTTACAGAAATTACGTGGTTATGAAATGTCAGTTGTTGTAAAGTATCGTCAAAATTATGCAAATCCTTGATTTAATGCAGTTGTCAGAATAAAAACTAACTAAAAACTACAGTAAAACTATGTTCCATAAAATTACTTTGAAAATGACCCTATAGAAAATATTATACAGACCGATGTGGAACATAATTTATGTTACAAAGAATTTTCTGTCTACAAGGCATTTCATCTTCATCCTCAGAAGTGATAACGTATCTGTGTAGTAACTATTTTAAGTCAGGTTAGACAGGCAGGATTATCTCGTTTGTCACTTAAGTTTCTGTTTCCAAACCTCGTTTGTTTGTATAGTTTTACATCCGACGATGAATGTTACAAATTGACGTTGATGGTTGGCAAAGCCTACCCGAGCCTACTTATATGTCCTGAGCTGTGCTTTGCACAAGCTACTTCTCATTAAGTAGAGGTTCATGAAACACATTTCAAGGAACTCGTTCTTACTCTTTCAGTTGTACTTATTCCATATAAGCAAACTTCAATAGTCTTTCAAATACTTATAATATTTCAAACTTGCTGGTTTTCTCAATATGTGTTTCTCCGCCGTCGTACAAGTAGTGATTCAAGACTTTAAATCCAATTTCCGCAGAAACTGTTATTTTGTAAGAAAGAGATATTTACTTCTACTTTTCATCTGTGACTGTTGTGAATGTTTCAAGTTCTGTTTTTTTTTTATCATAACTTTAAAGTAAAATCGCTTACCTGAAATGGATTTACGGCATTGATTGATCCATATGGTATATCATAAAACCTTACAATATTAGGCGTTTCTTCGTGTATATAACCTTGAATCGGCCCACTATTAGTAATAACAATATTCTCCTCATTTTGCCTATCTTCTCTTCCGTCATTATCTTTGATCTCAAATGAAGCTTCCATGGAATTGTAAACCCCAGACTTTAAGTCACTTTCCGTTGTTAGACATAAGGCAGTTAGTGAAAATTTTAAAGTTATCCATATCGGCAACCAACGTGTTGTTTCCATAACAATTTAAATTCAGTTTATTTTCACGTTTAAGAACTTGAATTAAACCTGGATTTTTAACGTGTACGCCGATCGCAAACTAATCAGAAATGTTTGTATGGAACTTTATCCATGCATAAAAATCTACTGATCCTCTCAAGCATAAAAGTTGTACTGTAGGGATGGTAGGCAATCGATCACTGTACTAGTACACTGAAACACAAAATCCACGTTACGTTGTTATTTGAAACACATTACATTAACCGGTATTTAAGTAATACGTCTAGCCTGCGATTACCTCTTTGGTCTAGCGATCGTAAACGCGACTGATGATCTTGAAGTCCCGGGTCGGATCCAAATCAATTACTGGGTTTTTCTGACAAGAAATTCTCAGTAGCAGCTCGTGGTCAGAAAGTTGGCGGTGTTAAACCCCCGTGCCTCGGAAAACACATCTCTCACCGTTCGTGTCAGATTATATGATACTGGCTCTCGGTAACCTCCGGATGGGAACAAGGCAGTGCAAACACATATTTTGCTGCAGATTTAGTTAAGAGAGTGGTACCTACCAAGACAGAAAGAGTCCTACCATATAGAAATTAATACCACTTAAAATTATCTTTGACAATTTTACTGATGTCGGCTAGCTCAAACTGAATTTACTCGCATAATCATTATCATCATTACAGCCCTTCACAAGGCCACTGCCGAACATAGGCTTCCCCCAATGAATGCCACAAAGCACGGTTCTGAGCCACCTGTATCCATCGACTTCCTGCATGACTTACCAGGTCGTCACTCCATCTAGTGGGGGGTCGCCCTACAATTCGCCTACCGGTACGAGACTGCCACTCGAGAACCTTTTTTTCCTCATCGGTTGTCGGTTCTTCGAGCTATATGGCCATTGCCACTCCAGCTTACCAATTCGTTGGACTATGTCGATCATTCTAGTTTTACTGTGGACATCCTCATTTCTAAGTTTGTAATGCAGAGAAACCCCGAGCATAGCCCTCTCCATAGCTCGCTGAGCGACTTTGAGCTTCCTCATATGGCCAGCAGTGAAAGACCACGTCTCAGACCCACCACACGCACTGGTTGTACAATCTCGTTTTCAGGTTTTGACGTATACCTGACGAGAAGATGTGTCACTCGTAAAACTCGCATAAGAACTAATTTTAATATAAGCACTTATCCTCGTGAGTTGGTACTCTTGGTACTTTGTGTAGAAACTGACTGCTTGCTTGTCGTTGATTATTGCTGACTTAAGTATTATTAATTTATTATATCGATACCTCTTTCTCTTTCTATTGTCATTTAGTGAAAAGTGAGAGAGAGCAACTTAAAGCATTTCTTAAATTGACGTCGATTTTTACCCCCGACGCAATCATTGGGGTGTTGTATCTTTAACGTGTGTACCTGTGTGTCTGTCTGTAGCTGGGGCCAAAGGGAATGGGTGATTTGACTGAATGAGTTGTTGCTCTGGGTGCTGCGGGTTCGAATCCCGCACGGAACAAGAATTTCTATGGCCTACAAATAATTGTTCCGGGTCTGGATGTTTGCTGCCTAAACTGCCTCCACGATACAGGAGATAATCCTAGTGTGGAGGTAACGTTTTAAATAAATAAATAAATAAAAAGTATTTATTTGCCACATAACGATACAATGTTAAAATTTAAATAGACAGCTTAATAATGAATTGTGACAAAACGGTCTGTGACTCAGTTGTAACACGAGTAATTCCTGCTATTCTGC